CTCTCTATTTTCATAGGGAAGGGGGGGGGGGCACAAAATTTATTGGCAAGCACCAGGGCGCACTAATCCTATTTACACCACTGATTGACATTCATTCACAATTGACTATACATTAACGTAAGATTGTTTGTAGTGTTGTTGTCGATTTTTTCTTGAAGTTTTTGAATACCGGTAACTGTATTCACAATATTCTAAAGAGTTCTTTGTTAAATGTTATCATTTATATTGTTCACTACTGTCGGGAGCTGATTGACTTTTTATTGCTTTGAATGCCTCATGTATGGGTCCATAATAATAACCAGTTTAACCAACTCTCCACAGATTTTTATTCAAACATGATGATATTGTAAACTGAAAATAGCTATATGGTTTTATTTTGTAGAGTATCTCAGTACAGTATAAATCAATTTTCTTTTTGTTGCTTTAATGTCTGTATGACTCCACCACTCATATAGATAACTGCTTTAGTTTATTTGTATCTTGATAAAACAAATATGCTGGGCTTTATCCTTTAACCTAAAGTTGTCATTAATGACGATGCATAGTTAATGTGTCTGAAACAGCTCTTCTTGCATTAATTGTAACAATTTTCTAGGCTTTGTGTATTAGTGAGTATCATTTTAAAGAACAAAGGCATTGTGAAGATGAGTGATTGTAGTTGTATTTTATATGCCCTGTTACTCTATGACTGTATGAAGTTGAGATTGCTAATGAATTACAATATTTGAGAAATGGCATGAAGAGTAAATCTCTCAATAAACTCTGGTGAGTCCAAAACCATCCTTTTCTTTTTCTTTACTTTGCAAACTACAATCTCTGAGTTGCTTTACTCACCAATTTAATTTAACCACTTACAGAATTGATCTCAAATAAAAGTTTAATCAGTTTTAATATCTGTAGAAGAATATAATGCATTAAAAGATAATAAACAAAGTATCTCATTAAAATTTTACACGACAGTGATAAACTGCTAAAACCGGTACCAAGAAATTGGAAATTTCCCAAGTGCCACTATGCATGATTAGTACAGGTACTGAAAAGGGTTAGTATACTGGTCTCACAAATTAAAACAACAGTACTAAAAAAAAAAATTACTAGCCTACATATTAATGTGATTCAACACAGTTTCTTTTTGTCACTCTAGTAATCAGATATCATGTGATAGTCTTTGTTCATTTTATTCAGTAAGTTTTGACTTAGGGTCAATGAAAAATGATCAGTTAGGTTAGGTTTTTTTTATTACTGTACTGTACAGTTTTTCTCACTAAGAAGATTCTAGTAAGCAATTTACAGTACCAGTATACATGTATGTTTCCAGGGTGCTCAGCTGTATAAAATGTACCGGTACGTCTAAGTCATTGTAATTTGTCAATGAACATACAATTGTGTATGTGTGCCTACTTCTCATTCTTGTCAGCTCTTCATACATACACGAATTAGTCCTTGTAAATTGTTTTAGAAATACATATCACTCAATATCAGCATTATTTAAATTCGTATCTGTTGAGCATGTACCACATTAAATAATTGTTTGTGAACACTGGTGTAGTTTATCAAACATTGTTAGATGTTATAATAAAAAAGTAAATATTTTCATGAAAAGACACTTAAAAAAATGACTGTCCAGAAATATCTGTTTTCTTGCATAAAAGGAAAATTTATTGCTTAAAACTTAAATGAAAACACAAGTGCATAGCTATATTTATAGTAATAATTTAACATACAGTGAAATTGAAATTATTTGCACACAGTTTAACTATAATCTTATGTGGTCACTTTCATTGCAAAAATATATCTGATCAATTACAACACCTAGTTTGATACTAATATTTTAAATAAATATTTTTTAAAAAGATAATTAATAATTTAAGTTTTATACTTAAGAGTACTCAAACCAATATTAAGTTTTGTTAAACAATTTATTTTCTCTCAGTAAAATATTGTTGTAGAAATAGTCCTAAAGTCCAGGAATAGTACATAATTTATGCTAAATTAATATTTTTGTAGAACAAATTTAATGAAGAGCATCACACTAAGGAGTCTGTACAAGTAATGCAGGTATAAGGACACCTTGTGTTGCATGGTAAATTCTGTAGATTGTAGTTTTAGAAGTGTACAATAGTTACATTGTTACAGCAATAACTTTTTAAAGGTTGCTTTGTGATATTGCAATAATCATTTTAGTTTTCTTCACACGAATGGTTTCAATCATATTGCTATAACTTAATATTATACACCAATAAGGATTTTCAATATTACTACTTTGGATCTTAAAGTTTAACTGCCAAATTTATTGTTAATATTAATACTTGACTAACAAAAACGTATTTGTCCTTTTCTTTTTTTTCTACAAATCTAATATGTTCTTGTTAACTTAAACCTATGCTTTTAAGGATAATTAATTTATTGCTCTGTGTGCAGATGTTATGCCATTGTTACAGATGATTTTTGATGTTAAACAAAAGAAGATTGTGCGTTTGGGTTGTGTTCTTTTTTTTTTTTTTTTTTTTGCTTTTGCTCCATTCCATTTTTTTTTTCCCTCCATTTTAAATTAAATCAAAGAAATCCCAATTACTCTTTACTTTTTTTTTTTTTTAACACTTGCTTGCACATTATGCTTGTAAATATACTTTTTTTTTTAAACTTAATTTGCAATCCATCAACAGTTTTATGGTAAATCTATTGTTTTGTTAAGTATTAATATGATCAATTTGCAATTTTTTCAAAATCAAATTTGTCAAGTCATTATGGAATTTTGCCCTTTCCAGTTATCTGTTTCACAGAAATTATTGAAGGACTTCAGATATTGTAGCTTGGACTCATTTTCAATTGAGCTTTTCTTTTCAAAATTTTGATTTTAATGATAGGGTTTAAGGATCAATTATTTGCACTTAAAAAGGGATACATGTTTGTTTTTCCCTTGTGTGATATAGCTTTCAGATATGATTGTTTTCTATTTTTTACAAATCCTTTTTGAGAGGGTAATTGTTTTGTTTCATTCATGGTTAATAATACTTAGTAAAAGTAGAACCAATTTTTTTTTTTTTTTAACCTTTTTTAATTAATGAATTAGTTTCTAAACTCAATTAAAATATATTAAAATTATTTTCTATTATGTTATTGAAAGCTGCTAAAGTTTTTGTTTTATCTTTCATCACATAAAGTTTAAGTCACATGTTGGTTTAACTTCGATGAGTTGCTTATACCTAAATGAGGATTAGTTCTTTTTCGTTTTGTTTTTGGAAAGCATTTGGAACTAGGTATATGCCTTGTAAATCTACTGGGTACACAGGAAATTATCCTGGAAATAAAAGTTCTCCAATTGAATTATGTGCAATCAGTTAAATTGGCTAATGACTCATTATTTCAGTACACTAAATTACTAATGATTAAGTTTATTAAGTAAAGTATTTAATGATAAATTATTCAGTTGTACAAGGTTATTTTTATTTTATTTTTTTAAATTCTCATTTTATGTGTCAGAAAATTAAAGTAATTTAGTTCCTTTGAATTTCAATTTGTTTGTCTTGCTGGTTACATTGATATGATGTAAGTGAGCATATTTTAATTTCACATACTATGGGTTAAAAATTCTTGAGCACCTTCATACTTATGACACACAATTAATTTTGTATTGGAGCTTTTATCAGTTATCACACATTGTTTGACAGTGTGGGCAGAATTTCAATGTTTCCCGGTAGAAGACCTTTTTGTCTTAGTTATGTTTGAAGATGTACATTTTCCTATTGGCTTGTGTGGAGTAAGAAATTTTATCATAATCTTTTGCTTCAGAAAGAGAAAATATTTCTTTATTTTAATTAACCAAAAATTCTATCTTTTCTTTTTCCTTGCGGTTGTGGACTTTTAACATTTCTGATTTGTATTATGGTCTTGAATAGTTTTGAAACCGGCAGATCTTTGTGTAAGAGTGGATTTTATTGTATATACTTTTTAACTGTACAGGTATAAACACTAGGTGATCCGCGACTGACCGCATGCTTGTTTCACCTGTTATTTATGGTAAGCTGTTGTTCAACTTACCTTTCGTTTTGTTACCAACTTTGAAAACTTCTAGTATTTCTTTGTTTCAAAAGTAATGGGAGTATCGCCCTATCGCTTTTTTTTTTTTTTTTTTTTTTTTTTTTTTTTTTTGTATTTGGCTTTTTTGTTTTTTTTTTTTTTCTTCCTCACTGAGTGAAAACTGAAATATGTGTACATGGTGTGCTGTACATTTAAATAGAATTTTTTTTTTTTTTCTTTTTGCAATGCACTGTTTTCCTGTGGTGCACTAGACCAGAGTTTTTTTTCTCTCATTGGTGTTAGTTTGGCTAACTGTTGTTGTTGAATACCTCTGTGAATGTCCTGACTCAGCTGGAGAGATGTAATTTCTTGTTGGCTAAATTATTTTTCCAGTTTTGATACAAGCATACAGTAATTAAGTGATTCCTACTGGATTTATTTTTTTTTTTGTAATTTTTTTTTTCCAATCCATTATTTTTTTTTTCGTGAGTTAATTTAGATACAGAAATGTGTTCCTGACTTTTGTATCTAATAAAATTAAAATTTCATACCAAACAGAGTTTTTGTATTTGCTGAGTATTTATGCATGCTTTTTTTTTTTTTTTTTCGTGAGTTAATTTAGATACAGAAATGTGTTCCTGACTTTTGTATCTAATAAAATTAAAATTTCATAC